CTTGAACTATATGATCAACAAAAGATGTTGATCATCCTTGCCATCTAAGAGGGGAAAAGAGAGCTTTATTTTACAAAAAATGTCTATTGAGGTTGAGAAGCCTATATCTCTCTCTATACATGAATTTGTTGTTAGCAACATTGCTAAAACCAACTAGATTATATAAATGCTCGACTAGAGAGAGACGAGCATCGAGCAGATGTAATGCTTTACTTCAAATTTTTCCTTATCTCTAATTCTCAACTTCTTTCTTATTGTCTATTTGATTTAGCCGATAAACTGCCTAATAATTGTCCGATAATCACTAATTCGATATCAATCCGCCCGATATCTTATTGGATGGCTAGCGGATTACTACATTTATAAACCGATAACCGATAAGTCAAACCGTTAACATAAATATCTGTCCGATCTGCCCGATAAGCACCCATCTATCCCAACTTCATGATTTAATGCGGGCATAACTATACAAATACCCTTACCATTATCATGCTTATTAAGTTAAGTCAAGCCAAACTAAGTCAAGCTAAGCCAAGGCAAACTTTATACTTAGGGTAATTATTTTAAATTTAATCGGTATTTTGTGTAATTTTCCCTTGAATGAATTGGGCTAACCATCGTCAAACAAGGACCAAAACCAAAGAATCCCGATGCATTGGACCAGCCTACTCAGTCCATCATCTTGCTCCCGACAATTTGCAAAAGTAAAAAAGAGTAAACTACTCATTTAGGTCTTTTAGAGTTAAAATGCTACTCCTTAGGGTCCATAATAAGTGATTTTTTGGCCTTTGATATACTACTTAAGAAAATACTAACTCCTAAAAAAAAATATTTTTTGATTAAATTACCCTTAATTAAAATTTGCATATTATTAACTTAACACATTTGGACATGTAAATAAGGGCAAATTTTGAAAAATTAAAATTAATTCCTTCTTGATAATGTAAAAGTACACTTATTTTAGACCAAAATAAAGATACTAAAAAAATTACTTATTATGGAGTGGAGAGAAAACTAAAATTAGTCAATTCATAAAATACTGCTAATATAAATCAAATACTACCAATATAAGCCCTAAACCCTTTTTTAATTACCAACAGGCTATGGGCGCTTTTTTCTTCTCGTTGCTTCCTCCGTCTCTTCCCTCCACCTTCGATCCACCATAAACAAATACCTCAACCCATTTGTCACGATTAATTTCCATATTGATTTCACGCTTCTTCCATTTTGTGATACCATCAAAATCATTTTCTCCATTATAAACTTTCATTGAGTTTGTCTTGTGCTTCCTATCAACAGTATCAAATTAGGAGCAAAGTGGCGGACAAAATGTCTGTCATTCATATAATATTCAACAACTGTTTTGTTTTAGAGCAATAAGATGATAGTAAAAATAGTGTCGAAGCTGTGAGCTATTGTTTCCTTCATCTTAATTAGATATGTTTCAGGTGCCATGACTGCAACATTTGAATGGGATTTTGAGGAAATTATTGATTTTTCAATAAAAGCCATTAAAGAAGTTTGGAGCTAGGGTTAAAAATTTTGAAATTGCTTAATTGTGATTTATTTTGATTGGGTGCTACTGAATTATGTTGAAAGCATCTTAAAGAGTTTGAATCTTAATTTGGGATAATTTGAAGAGGTTTGAATTGAAGACTCGGAGTACAAAATGAACATAGAAGAAGATAATGATATGTGTATTGCACTATACATATTTCGAGTATCACTTGTGTATCATATGTGTATCCTATTGTATAGGGTAAAATTGGTTTATATTAAATGATCGAATGGTAGCGTGAGACGTGGAACCGAAGAAGGTAGAAAAGAAATCGAATAATAACTAGTACCGGGAACAACATCTAAAATGGCATCGGATAAATCCCTAAGGGAGCATGAACAATGTGAGCATATCGAATGTTTGCCATCGGATAACATTCAATGAAATGAGTAGCCGTTACAGAGAATATTTGCATTCATTGTTTGTTGGTACATATTCATCAATGGCCCTTTTATTGTCATATAAGAGGGGCTTGATCCTATGATCTTGTTTTCCTAGGTCTAGCTATAAATAGTGGGCTTAACAGCCATTGTAACACACCAAATTCTTGGGGAAACTTATGTTATATTCCATTCTCAAACTCAATAAAATAACTTTATTCGCTTTTTACATTGTTCTTACTTATGTCCTGTAACGACCCGACCAGTCGTTTTGAGCTTGAGCGTTTCATTCGGTAGTTTGAGACTTTGAGTAGCTTCATATTATGCATTATAACTTGCGTGTATGGTTGGTTTCGATTTTCGAGCGGTTCAGGGTTAATTTGGAAGAATGATTCTCGTTTTAGAAGCAATAAGTTGGAAGAGTTGACCATGGTTTGACTTTTGGGTAAACGGACTCGGAATCGGGTTTTAATTATTCCAATAAATTCGTGTGATGATTTAGAACATGTCCACAAAGTTTGGTTAATTTCCGATGAGTTTTGGATAAATTTGTATGATGATTTTGGACATGTCTACAAAGTTTGGTTAATTTACGAGTGGATTGTGTTGTTATGCCTGTGACCACGCCGGACGGATTATGTTGTTATGCTTGTGACCACGCAGAGTGGAGTATTTTGTTATGCATGTGACCACGAGGGGCGGATTGTGTTATGCCTATGACTACGTCAGGCGGATTGTGTTGTTATGCTTGTGACCACGTCGGGCAGATTGTGTTGATATGTCTGTGACCACGCCGGGCGGATTATGTTGATATGCATGTGACCACACCAGGCGGATTATGATATTGATCCCGTGACCACGCCGGGCCGGTAGTACGCGTTGAATTGCCGTGCTTGAGTGTCGATAAGGATCCATCCCCCTAGGGTCACCCTCTCATGTTTCTCTCTTGATGGTGTACACGTGAATTGTGAGAACCTGACGATATTCTGGTTGATGTGAGCTCTGGTAGAGCTAGGTATTGTTATTGGATTGGGTTGCACACCGCAACAGGCCTTATTAGCTTATGGTTATTGGATTGGGTTGCGCGCCGCAACGGACTGATATTCGGTTATTGCATTTCATCTTTACTTGAAATTTTCTCGACTGTTTACCTGATTTTACTTGCATATCTTCCTTATATGCTGGATTGTCGACTGAGCAGAACACTTTAAAATAAAGAATTGTGAGCATCAAAGTGTTTTTACCTGAGATTTCTTGTTTTGATCATATATCTGTTCTATACTTGTTGAAAGTACGAACTACACAGGTATTAGTGAGTATCATCTATAGTTCTTGATTCTTTTACCTCGCCGAGGTTAGTTAGGATACTTATTGAGTAAATGGGGACGGTTGTACTCATACTACACTTCTGCATCTTGCGTGCAGATGTTGAAGTTGTTGCTGCTATGTGTGGCGGGAGCTGGCATTGAAGATGTACCCGCGTTCCAGTTATGGCTATCACTTGTCCTTAGTAGCTTTATGTAACGACCCGGCCGGTCGTTTCGAGAGTTATAACCCCGTTTTCCACATTCCTACTTCTTTTTGTGTTATTCAGCTATATTATGTTATATCGGGTTAGTTGGTTCGGGTCCGGAAGGAACTCGGAGTGAAATGAGACACTTAGTCTCATAATTGAAAATTTTAAATTAGAAAAGTGGACCGGATATGCACCTATGTTTAAACGACCTCGGATTTGAATTTTGATGATTTCAATAGCTTCGTATGGTGATTTTGGGCTTAGAAGCGTGTCCGGAATATTATTTGGAAGTCCGTAGAGGAATTAGGCTTGAAATGCCGAAAGTTTTATTTTTTTGAGAAGTTTGACCGGGGGGTTGACTTTTTGATATCAGGGTCGGAATCCAATTCTGAAAATTGAAATACCTCTGTTATGTCATTTAGGACTTGTGTGCAAAATTTGAGGTCAATCGGACGTGATTTGATAGGTTTCAGAGTTGTTTGTAAAAATTAGAAATTTCAAAGTTCATTAGGCTTGAATTGGGGTGTAATTCATGGTTTCAGTGTTGTTTGAGGTGATTTGAGGGTTCGACTAAGTCCGTATGATGTTTTAGGACTTGTTGGTATATTTGGTTGAGGTCCCGAGGGGTTCGGGTGAGTTTCGGATGGTTAACAGGTTGGATTTTGGACTTGGAAATTTGCTGGAATTTTTCTGATGCACCATCTGGTTTCCTTCATCGCGTTCGCGAGTGGAGCCTCGAGTTCGCGAAGGGGAACTGAGAGGCTGGCAATAATTTCTCTTCGCATTCGCGAAGAGAAGCTCGCGTTCGCGAAGGGTGGACTGGGTGTGCATCGCGGACGCGAGAGGTGTTACGCGTTCGCGAAGAAGAGGAAGCATCCAAAGACCCCAGGCAATTGGTCTACGCGTTCGCGTAGGGGGTGTTGCGTTCGCGTAGTGAGGGGAAAGAAGCATCGTGTTCGCGATGGATTGAACGCATTCGCATAGAAGGCATTGAGGCAGAGGCATTTTTGTGCTTCGCGAACGCGAGTGTGATGTCACGTTCGCGAAGGAGGAATTTGGACGGGAGCTATTTTGTGCTTCGCGAACGCGAGGCACTGACCGCGTTCGCGAAGAAGAAACGTCTGGGCAGTGAGTTTAAGTTCTGATTTCATTTTTTGGCAATTTGGAGCTCGGAAGTGAGGCGATTTTGGGTGATTTTTAGAGGAAACAACGGGGTAAGTGTTCTTAACTCAATATTGATTAAATTACCCGAATCCATGGTTGTTTTTATCATTTAATTGGTGAATTGAGTTGGGAAAATTTAAAAACCCTCTTGGTTTAAATCGAAGATTTGAGGGTCGAGTTGGAGTCGGATTTTTGTAAAATTGGTATGGTTAGACTCGTGGTTGAATGGGTTTCCGGATTTTGTAACTTTTGTCGAGTTTCGAGACGTGGGCCCCACGGGCGATTTTTGAGCTAATTTTCGGATTTTTATGGAAAATCATTATTATCTTGTGGAATTAATTCCAATGAATTTTATTGACTGAAACGAATTATTTATGACCAGATTCGAGGCGTTTGGAGACCAATTCACGAGGAAAGGGCATTGCAGAATAACAATTTCGCGGTTTGAGGTAAGTAACGATTGTAAATCTGGTCCTGAGGGTATGAAACCCCGGATTTCGTATCATTCTACTATTTTGAAGTGACACACATGCTAGGTGACGGGCGTGTGAGCGTGCACTGTTGGGGAATTGTGACTTGGTCCCTCCCGTAGCAATTGTAAAGTTGCATACTTTGTTGAAACCATATGGTACTTATTTGTTTTAGAAAGAATTTCTGTAAATTGGGCTGAATGCCGTGTTTGGGCCTTGCGCCAATGCTGTTTGGACCCTTAGGGGCTGTTTCTTACCATCCTCTCATTGTTTTCGATTGAAAATCTATACTCAATCATGTTTATACTTGTTTACCGCATAACTCAGTTNGTTTTGCCCGAGGGGCTGTTTATGATTTCATCATTTTTTCTCACCTTTGCATTGAGCCTTTGTTTGAAAAACTGTTGGAAAAATGTCTTCAAAAATGATTTTTACTGGAACTGGGTTTAAACGAGATGTTTGATTCAAATCCTGATTTTTAAGAGCATGTGGTATTTTACTGAGATTTCCTGATATGAACGTTATATGCTTTATTGCTCGTCACTACTGCGCAGCCTTTATTTTTTGTTGTTACTTACTGAGTTGGCGTACTCACGTTACTCCCTGCACCTCGTGTGCAGATCCAGGTGTAGCTGGACACGGTAGCGGTTATTGAGTGTTCTGGTTGCAGATTTTCTTGGAGATAGCAGGGTAGCTGTTTGGCGATCGTAGCCCCTGCTCTTCTCCCTCTTATCTTCCTTTAGTTGTATTTAGCTATTTTCCGGGCTGAGTTAGCCTTGATATTATTAGACAGATTGTAGTATATGCTCATGACTAGTGACGGGCTTTTCTTTTTCGCACTTCTGTTTTTCTTTGATTTGAACTCTTTAAATGGAGGTTTTATGTTAAATAACCTTGAAATTATCTTTGAAATGAAAATATCGGCTTGTTTTGGATATGAGTCGGCTTGCCTAGTTCCACGATAGGCGCCATCACGATAGGGGTTAGTTTTGGGTCGTGACACCTTAGACTTGATTTCTGTTCATGTACAATCCAAACATATGTTGTAATTATTTAAGTTCAGGTTTTTTGTAAAATCTAAGTATTAGTGACTCATGACTTGTACTACCAATCCTTGGGGAGATGTATAAAATTCAGTTCTTTTATTTTTGACTCTTATCATTATCATTATATTATGTTTTATTTGTCATTTGGCTTACCCAGCGGGTTGGATTAGGTGCCATCACGATGGGCTGGTTTTTGGGTCGTGACAAGTTGGTATCAGAGCTCTTGGATCATAGGTTCTACGAGTCATGAGCAAGTGTCTAGCAGAGTCTTGCGGATCGGTATGATGACGTCCATACCTATCTTCGAGAGGCTATATGACATTTAGGATAAACTTCTCATCTTTCTTCCTTATCGTGCAACATTGATTCAACTTAAAGCGTATCTCTTTGAATTCCTTCCACTCACTCGTATGCACATGTGAGCGCTCGGTATCAGTTGTACATCGACGGCTTGTGGATTCCATGGATGAGGTGCAAGATGTGTTTTCTGTGTTTTGGTGGCCAGTCTGGAGGACTTGAGTCCCGGTTTGGACCGAAGCTTAGGCTCGGTAGTTTCAGTTGTGTGAGCATGTGCTTTTGGAATTCTATGTCCATTGGTGTCCCTATGAGTGGGACTGGTGACTCAGTGAGTGGTTGGATGGCTATATGATGAGTAGGATGTGACTGCATGATGTGTTCAGATGGTTTGAATGTGACGGGAAGAGTTTGCTTGAGATGTGAAAAGGACTATTGGATGCTCGATTTCTATGAATGTGTCATACAATCTTGAGTTATGAAGGTTTTTGAGTGATTCTTTCGTTTAATTTCATTTGTGGAACAAAGTAGATTTTTATGTCTTGTTGATGAGTTCAGACTCAAGAAGATTAAGTGATTGCGTAGTAGTTGTGGCTGTGAAAGGGTATAGAGAGATGTCAGTTTGAGGCTAAGCAGGTGGGTTATTACCTGCGGGGTAATCTACGTATGTGTGATCCTTGTAATGTTGTGTAGAGGCTTTCTTTTCTGCCAGTGGGTATAGGTGTTGCGATTTGAGTTTGGACTGGTTGAGAAAGTTGACCTGACCATCACGAGGATGAATGCGAGCTTAGCAGCTGATTTGAGGTATTATATGGTTTGTGTTACATGAGCTTATGAAGGATTTAGTTGAATCTCATTGCGGTATTATGGAAATAATAGAGTATGGGCATTGTGAATTATAGAGTGTTTTGATCTATGGCTTTGAGCCAAGTGGGGGAGTCTGCTATTGACGATTTAATTGCATGGTTACATGTTGTATTGGTTTCGGTCTGAGGTATACTTGTGGATCGGTTATGACTTGCAGAGGCTGGTTTTGAGGATGACTTAAGCAAGAAATTTCTGGATGCATGGTGTATTACACTTTATGGGTATATAGGAATCATGAAATGATTGAGTTGTTATTCCTGAAGGATGTAGTGCGCAAGTAGTAGGAATTTGCTCGATTGCGTTAAGACGGGTTTACTTCTTTGGGTGTTGTCGTGCTAATGGGGCACAGGTCGTTCGGCCCGTTTGGGCAGTGCAATTGAGATTTGAGCAAAGTGGATGACTCTCGAGAAGGTTCTAATGGATTCAAGATTTATATGTAGCAATTGAGAATTTTTCGGATTTGTATATGGTTAGAATCTGAGATTTACATTGGATGGTGTCGAGACTCGCGATATTTTTATATCATTATGGATTCTACATTTCAGTATCGGGAAGGTGAAGGAAACAGTGCTTAAGAGGGAATACATCGGCTTATGGGTCTTAGGGCGGTGTGGTTTTATGTTAGGGTCTCTTGTTATGAGCTTTGGGTAAGGACCGTGGTGTTCTGGCAGGAGAAGTGTCAACTTGAGGGTAATTCAGAAGGAACTCGGGAAAATAGGACAACTTGGTAGTAGGTTGGATTAACACGGTAATAGATACACTACAAGAAAAAATGTTTTTAGTGGAAAATATTTAGTGTCAATAAGCTAATTGTCGCTAATTCATTTTATAAAGCTCAATGTTAGTGGCAATTAAACATTTGTCGGGAATAAACACGTCTTTGCCTTCAACTAAAAATAATGGCCACTAAAATTAATAATCTTATACTACTATTATTTTAGATCTTCCATCCTTTCCCCCCTAAAAAGATGTTCCCTCCAAAGAATACTATATTTCTATTTACAAACAATTTACTTTGTTCATCATTTCTGCCAAAGATGTGATTAGGGCAATTTTTCGGCCGACAAACAGTTTTTGCCCTAGAAAGTTGTTGCTCCCAAACGCACACGCAAGTATACATGGTTGACATGTAATATAGGATTGTAAGTCCAGATATCGTACCCACAAGGACTTGTGATTAACTATCAACTAAATTAAACCAAACAATTAATCTATTCAAGCAAATCCTAACGTATGAATATTTAACTAAAATTAATCTAGAGTAATAAATTAAGAGATTAAAGAAAATAACGACAAGCTTAAAGACGAATTCAATGTGGGTGAATATTCTAGAGCTATGGGTTAGCTAATAATCCTGTTGACTTTTCCACTTAAATTGTCTAATTAATTTATCTGGTTTATTGGTTGACAAAGTTAATATTGCCCGTAGCCTTCTCCCGAAGTACAACTCACATATTCAAGCTAATCTAACGCCTATATTCCTATGGAATTAGAATTAACAAGAACGCATTAATAATTCCTGTATAGTAACCAAGCAAGGCGATTAGGTATATTCCTATCCTGACTGCAAATCCGTCCCCCCCTCCCAGAGTTAAGATCTTGCTCTACTCAATCTTATAAGTAATCTAAAATTCCCTCTCCCGAGTTCAATTTTAGATTCGTAGATAGTATTCAATTGGTGATCAAGTAATTAAATAATTAAGCGCAAGATTGAATAAATAAACCAATATGATAAAATAGTAAGAATAATTTAAACCTCAAACTACAATGTTCATGTAGCACCCAACAACTCTAGAACTAATAAACTATGAGATTAAAGGAAGAGGAGAAGAAAAACTAGTTAGACGCCTCCTCCAAGCGTGGTGTGTGTTCCTCCACGTGAATTCTTGCCTCCGGTCACAAAAACTCCTAAACGATGGTGTTTAATGACTATTTATATGTGTAGGGAATATACCTAGACGAAATAACCAAGTCCAAAACAAAATAGGAGACAAAGTAGACTTTAAAATCCGGAACACACTCGCCACGGGCCTCGCCTCGCGAGGCAAAACGCGAACTTCACCTCGCTACACACTGTGCGCCGCAACCTCTGATGCGAGCTCCTCCTCGCTTTAGCCTGCACATCGCCAGCTCCATAGCGAGCTTTAATCCTCGCGTCGCATGCTCTATAGCGAGAAAATATTCTCACGTCGCCCAACTGCTTAGTTTCAATTCAATTTTTGCTGCCTAACTTTTCAAACTATTTTCTCATTCTCGTTTCTTGCTTTTGGTTCTTTTTCAGTTGTTCTCCTTTCTTTGTTTTGATTTCCTTTGTAATGTTAAACTTTATTCCTTGTATATTCAATAATCAAATAATCACAGCTCCATTCTTGTAGTGTATAAACTACACATAAAATCTCTACTTTGCTCCCAATTTCGTCTTCAACGTACCTACGCATAAAATAAATTCAATTAAGCACAAATATAGTATAGTTTAGCATTAAAGCCCCAAAATGTAAGATAAGTAATGCATTAAAAATATGAAATTATAGCCAAACATCACTACCCACAAGCTAATCAATTCATTCTGGCATAAATTTGTGCCACATAGACCCTTTTTCCGTCGAACATCCTATCTATTTCTCCGTTGAAAATGACCCGTAAGTTTCCTTTATTTGCTGTCCCCTCTCTTTCTCGAAGCAATTGGTGTAGTATTTTGCAACATGAACATTTCTTCATCTTGTATGTGATATGAACTTTACTGCTTATGCATTTCCATTGGTTTCATCATGTAACTCCTTTTTTTTTTTTTTCAAATGTAAGGTTATTTAGGACATTAGGTGAAAAATCTCAATTATAAGGTTTTTAGGACCAAAAATTCTGTAACTTCTTTAAGGGCGTGTATTTTATTTAGTGTAACTCTTGATAGAACTTGATGTATCCTGTCATGACATTTATAATATTACTATTTCTGATTTCCTATATTTTGATTTTAAGTTTGGAATAGTTTCAATACTTTTAACTTAAATTTGTTGTTTCTCTGGCTAGAATTCACATGTATAATTTTGAGTAGTTATTTCTTTTACATGGTTTTATAGCAATGCTCGATCAATAGATCAATTTATAATATTTTTTATCATATTATGGGTATATCAAATTATATGGTAAATATGAGAACTCCTTAAACTGATCATTAGGTATTCCAGATTTAGGATGAAGTTAGAGTGATATAACTACATACATTCATCTTTTTTCGCATCTCTTGCTGGTCACATCAGAGTTACATGACTCTTCATCTATGAAATCATTAGTTAAATTGGTAGTGTATTTGAAAGCTGTATATGATATATTACTTGTGGCACATTAGAGAAAACGCCATTACCATTTATAATTGCTGAAATTTAAATTTATTTGTTGCATCTGTTTCGAAATACTGGGTATTCTATCTTCTTGTTGTTGGAATTGCTTTTTGATGCTGTGACTTTTTAAATTTTTATCGATGTATATAAATTTGATTTCATAACCCTTACGTCGCACCCTTGGATGTTATGTTTTATCATTTCTAACAAAAGAAAAGGCATGTAATTCAAAACCTTTGTGATTTTTGTTTATCAGCGGCATAAGTCGTTGTATTTTGAATTAATTCCATTCTAGTTTTTCATCAATCTGCTGATTAGCAATGAGCAGAACCTCGTTCATTAGCAATGTGCAGAAATTGCCAAGAAAGACGGAGAAACTTGACTAGGATTATCTTATGGTGTTGTATGAAAATATTGAATAGTCTCTTCAACAATTCACTTCTCATTCTTCTATTTCCTGACTCTACTCATCCATTGGCTTACGCAGACAATTCAGAAATGGAGTTGCTCATATTGAATAGCTGCTTCATATGGACTTCAATATAGAAGAATGGACTTTGAAGAATTCTACAACGAGATTATGTATCGAAGAGCTTGTATCTGTAAGTTTCTTTTTGTTTCAAATGCGTTTTTTGACTGTCGTGTTAGCGTTGTACATATACTCTAAAAATAACTTCTCAGTATTGACATGAAAGATGGCTTTTCAGCATTATCAGTTGGGAATTTCTACTACTATTAGTCTTGTATGATCAATTAATACATTATGTATTTTAATTTTTTAATATCCATTGTAATTTACCGAGTAAATAATTCAAGATTTGTTTCTTTTAGTCTGCGGTCACTTTTTAGGTAAAAATACATATTGTGTACCTTTTTAATTTTAAGTTGACGTCGTCGTCCTTATTTGAACTCTGAAATAGTGTCCATATTTCGAAAATTGAACTATGTATCACTTAATCCCATATAGCTCCTATATCTAAACAGAGATGAATTCGATATTTAAAGTTACTAGATTTGGAGTGGCTTCGATCTACTATATGCACACTATCTTTAATTTATTTATGTTTGTATACACACGTGCATGGTTCAGTCCAAAGCAATGAGTTCAATTGAAACCCATTGCTAGTGGCTGGATTCTTAATTTGAGCTCACTCTATAAGTTCCAAACTTTTAAGTAAACTCTTTCCGACATGTGATTACTCTATAATGTAAACAAACTTCTTTTCCTACTAATAAATCAAATTTATTCTTATGCAAATGTATAGAGTATATTAAACTATGAACATTTTCCACGGTCATCTTAACAAAGTGGATGCTCTCAAACTGCGGAATACACAATTTTCTAAGCTTAACCTTGTGTAACTTGGTCCAGAAACAAAAATATAAGAAAGCACTAGACTTTTGTTTACATGTCTCCTAAAAATTAAACTAGAGACCCTTTAATATTTTCTTTTTACATTTGATAGGTAACTTAGCTTAAAAAGTTTTGTTGTGGTGCAGCTGCGTAATCTTGAAGCCTGTGTTGCGGAGGACTAGAAGGGTCTAGTATATTATGCTTTCAGACATGCGGTCATTTGATGTTCAAAAGGCTCTCCATATCTAATATTCAAAAGGCTTTTCATGTTAGGAATGCTGACCATCTCAAGAACTGGAGCATCTACAAGTATTCAAAACTTTTGTCTTTTTTACCTTAAAATTATTTTCCTACTTCACACGTGACTTGGAAGTGTAAAGCAGTGAAATTAATAACAATGTTTCATATTTCATTAGTATGTCAATCTTCTGTTATTGGTCAGACTCAGAGGAACTAGTTATTCCATTATATCACAAACGCATTGGCGTCGGGATTCAAATTTGTGTCTACAGTTATATTATTGCTTAATTTACAACTATATTCTTCTTCAGGCACAATTTTTCAGGTACAGAAGCCATTTGTTTAGCTTTCTCAATTTAAAGTTCCATCTTCTTACTTAGTTGAACTAGATGAATATCAGATTACGTTAATGGATAATAGTTTGTGTAAATCTAATGCTTCTGAGTTACTTAGAGAAGTTTTATTTTCATTATGTGAGTAAGATGCATCCGTGCCTACCTTATATTAAAGCAGAATTCACTGCATCTGTACCTTTAACAAGAATCATGGATGTTGCTTTTGTCTGGGTTATGGTTGTATCTGGCAGTAAGCATCAAACATGCTTGGCACGGTGCTGACAACTGGAACTGGTAGTGGCTGTGTTCATTCTTTGGAGCTCTTCTTTTTAGATCTTTTAATTTTAGCCTTGTGAAGCTCCTCAAAGGTTGATTCAGAGCTGCAAGAAGATTGAGCTCTAAGTTGGTTGGCCTATTATTTTGGTGCACAAGTGGATATTCAAGCTGGAATTACTTGTGGAAGACTTTCATTATAGTCAAGAGTTGAAGAGATACTTGTTAAACTTGAAATGAAATTGAATTCAAAAGGTTATTTTCTCTCTTAAGTTGTTGACACTTTGAAACTATATATAGAAGTTTTTTTTGTTGTGGATTTAATGAAATAGATAGTGATTTTTAGAATGGATATTAGTTTGTAATTACAAACTTTTGTGTATTTTCATTTAAAATTTTTGGTCACGTATTATTATTATTATATTAATAATACTTTGATCAACTTGGCATTAGAATTTATGGAACAATGGGTCGTTGTCATCTATAAAAGACAAATAAAGGTGTTTAGGAATAATTTTAGTCGCCATTATCATTACCATTGCCGCTAAAAGAGGTACATTTTGCTAGCAATTAGTGGTTTTTGCCGGCAATAAGCAGCGTGTGATCTAGCACATCTCTCAGGGGATTTAGTGGCCATTGTAATTGCCAGTAAATAATGGCCGCTAAAGTAAATAGCTTTTAGCGGCAATAATTTGTGTGTTTACCAGCACTTGGTTGAATTGCCGCTAAAACCTTTAGCAACGCTGGATACAACGTCTAATAAGTAATTGCCGGTAAAGGTTTTAACGGTAATTTTTATTGACGCTATATGTAAAATATATTGGCGCTGAAGACCATTTTTGTTGTAGTGATATGATCGATTCTTTCGGTACTTATGATGTGGTGAGTCTCTACAGGTATTTTGTGGCAATACTTTTGGATTTGGCGACCTGCGTGGCTTGGTTGAGTTATAAAGATTCAGTTCTGATGGCTTGGTTATGTGTAAATGGGTTTCGAAGAGTTTTCGATGGTTTCTACCTCGGTTGGAGATGGATATTTCCTATCGGCGTGAGGAGCATGTTGCGTATTGTGATTTTCTAATAGATGAGATCAAATGGAAGGTTTCTAACTGATCGGGTATGTATTCTGCTGGTGACTCAGAGTTGATAATGAGATTCTCGTACTTTTCATATGATGGCATGATAGATGCGGTGTGTTGTGTGGGATTGAGATTTGCATGTGCAAGGTCACCGTTCAGTTTTGAAGAGAAGGTCATGAATTCTAAGACAACATGGACGGTTTCAGATGACTAGATGAATGCTATTACTAATTGGTATTTCCTGAGAAGGGTGCGTATTTCAGAAGGCACACTGTGTTTTGACTTACGGATGCTTCATTGGTATTGCGGTACTCGCGTGGTTGATCGACTGTTGATGTTCAGATTTTACTATGTGGCATGGAAGAATTATAGAAGTATTTCTCGTGGGGATGATTATGTATGAGAGATGTGTTAGTCATTCAAGTGGTGGAGTTGGGATCGACTATGGTGATTCATGTGTTCTATGGATTTGGAGACTCGGAGTTCTCAGAAGCAGATTATTTCGGGGTTGCGAACTGTAAAGATGTGGCCAAAGTTAGCTAGATGGTAGTACGTGCTATGAATAGTTCATTGTGGACTTTTGGAAGGCCATTTATCCATTTGGGATGACCGGAGTTTATTTGGGGGCCCGTTGGTAGGCCTAATGAGGATGTGTATTCTACACTAAGTCGTATTTGCTGACTCAGCACCATTATTACTAAAAGGCGTGTCATTCGGTTAGAGTTGAGCTTGTTCGTGTTCTGATATGTTCTATGTGTTACTCTTATATGCTACGAGGGGTTGTGATTTGTTGGTTATATGCACACTCGATGCGGTTCTATTTGGGCTTTGTAGCAGAATTCGAGCGAAATGGTTATTGGGGTGTTGAATGGTTGATTGCGCCATGGTTATGGTCTTTTTGGACTGACGTATATCGTATTATTCGCTTCTCCATGGTTATGATCATGCACTTCGTGTACTTGATGTCGAATTGCGTGCGGTTATTGATTTTGAGCATTGTAGCTTGAGGTATTTCATGTGGACCAGTGTTCGGATTGGGTCATGCATCGCAGCGGCGTTATGCTAGGATATGATCCTTTGTGCTTATTTCGTGTGTTATGTTTCCCCTTGTGTGGTGGATTGATAACATTGCACTTCGTGGTGGTATCTGTTGAGCTGGCGGGACTGTTTCTTCATTTCCATTCTCTTTCCATCATTGGGTATATTTGAGTTATTTTTTCGTTTGATGCACGGATTGCATGGTATATGGCACTAAGTAGGATTTGTGTGACAGGTTGGTCGAGTAGCTTGTACTGGATGAGGTGAGGTTATTGGGCTTGAAATGAGTGCCATCGGATTTGATTAAGGTATGTTTGCAAGAATTGTGTCACTAGTCCGCTTACATTTTGTCAATGGTTCTTTTCGGGCAAGAGAGCTCAACCACTTGTTAATTTGATGGGTGGTTATGAGTTTCTGTATGTTTCCTTCATTATTGATAATGTACGAAGGTACAGAACAAGATTTTAGTTGATATGAGATTTGTTACCAGTGTCGGGTTGGTTATCGAGCAGCTATTGCGGTCGGAAGTTATTGCTATGAGTATTTGAGTTATGTGGTATATCATGTGATTATGTCTTGAGATATGGTTATGGAGTAATATAGCATGTTCAGAGTTATACGGTGTATAGATGCAAGAATCGAGTCATATAATGAGTTTCGGATGTTGGGGATTTTGGTTTTAAGGTTTATGGACTAAGGTTGAAGTAAGGATCCTCTGTTAGGTGGTGTTGTCGGGCTTATATGGATGGGGTGTCACAACCCCAATTTTTTACTTTAGAATGTCGTGATGGTACCTAGTCTCTAATACTAGGTAAGCCTAACACTTGCTGATTAAATAATAAATTTTTAACCAAATAACTAATAAGGATGAAACAAAAATTTCTATAATGAGCCAACAATCTCAACATGATACAATATCCCAAAATCGGTAGTACAAGTCATAAGCTTTTCTAAGAGCCACTTGAAATAATGATACATCATTGTCCTGGAATAATAGGAAGCAATGGAAATAAAACAATAGAAGGTGACTTCAAAGCCTGCGAATGTCAAGCAGGTATACCTTGAAATCTCCAGTCGCGCTGACATAAGCATCAAACCAACTTGATCATAAGTACCTGGATCTGTACAAAAATATGCAGAAGCGTAGCATGAGTATACCACAACGGTACCCAGTAAGTATCAAGCCTAACCTCGGTAGAGTAGTGACGAGGCCAGGTCAAGACACCTACCAGACATGTAAACATGTGCACGATATAACTTAAAACTAACAATGGAAAGAACGTCAATGTAAGACCAACAACAGAAGGATCACAAATTTACAATCAACAATGAAAATAATAGAAGCACGAATAGGAACATCAAAATAACGAGTAATAAAGAAATGGGTGACAACTCAATCAATCAAATCGTTCCTAATGCACTATTTACAACAAAATTACCCGAGGTACCCCTCCTCATAATCTCAAATCATAAGTCACAACTTTCAAATCTTATACATATGACATCTCGTGCCCACATTATTTTTCAAATCACTTTCCCCCCAGCAAAACCCATGCGCACCATGTACATTTAATCCGTGTCAAATGTTAATTAAAATGTTCAAGAGATTTATTTATATACGATAAGGCATAATAACGACCTTGAATAAAGTAGGGAATGAAATGAGAGAATGAGTTTATTTTAAAAATCATTTGGGTGAAGAAAATAACATTTTCAAATAAAATAAAGCATCGGATAAGCTACTGAATTAAATATAGAATTTGTTAAATTAAAATACAATATCCATTTTTAAGTAAAGTGAAAATATCAGATAGGGTAAGGAGTTTCAGTTGACAATTCAATTAAAGTGAAATATGGCGACTATTAAGAATAGTAAAGTACCGAATGAAATGACGAGTTCCAACTTAAGAGTCACGTAAGGTAAACATGTTAAAAATTCTTTTACTTAAAACCGTTATGTTACTAAAAACTCAACAGAGTATGAGATAATGACTCAGCGTAGAAAATTCATCTTGAAAATCAATTCACCAAAATAATAATGATAGGAAAGGAACTAACATTGGATTCTAACAAGGTTAAGAGCAGCGGGTCCAATAGCCGGATCTATTATGAGTCATCTCCTAGCCTGATTTTCCTTTTTTTTTTCCGGGTGGTTCAACTAAATGAAAGGGAAATGACGGCAAATCAGTAAACTAATGAAAATAATCAATCCTCGAAATAAGTACATCCAAAAATATCAGTCCTTAGAATCTCATATGATAAATATTGAAAGCTAACAAAACACAACAATGAATACAACAAACACAATCCGTTGCGGCGCGCAACCTGATCCCACCGTACAAATACAATCCTCCCTTATTTTACCATATCAATATTAGGAATAACTTATAAAATCCGTTGCGGTGCGCAACCCGATCCCACCATACAAACACAGTCCTCCCTTATTTTACCATATAAATATCAAGAATAACATATAAAATCCGTTGCGGCGCAACCCGATCTCACCGTATCAATATCAAATCCTCCCTTATTTTACCATATCACATAATCCTCCCTTATTCCACCCGTTGCGGCGTGCTACCCGATCCCACCG